ACATAGAATTTAAGATAAAAAGTGTTAAAAGGATAAAAAGGAAAGCTATATAACAAAAAAAAGTGAAAAATTCACCCAGAATAACATGCACTTAAATTTCCTAATAAAATATCTTCAAAATATGTGTTATGTGGTAAAAAAACATACATAATTAAAGGAGAATTAACAAATCCCTCATAATACCTCTGAGAAACACAGACATTAAACAGATTTTTAAAAAATCACATTTCAACAACAAAATGAATACACTTGAATTCTTAAATATACCCACATATTATAAAGAATACTAGAACTAGCTGGGCCCAGTGGCATGCACCGTAATCCCAGCTACTTGAGAGGCTAAGGCAGGAGGATTGCTTGAGCCCAGGAGTTTGAGATCAGCCTGGGCATACTGGGAGACCTCACATCAAAAATAAAAAATACTAGAACTGAGTCAGGTATAGGGACAGGAGGAAACTTATTTACCACTTAAGTTTTCAATAAAAAAGAGGAAATTTCTGCCAGTTTACTCCTCTACATAAGCAACAATTTAAAATACGTAATTTTAGGAAGATATCCCCTACGTTAAAAGCAAACTCTACCATTTTACACTCTTACAACCAGTACATAACACTTCCCACTGTTGCACCACCTCTTCAATCCCTGGAATTACCGGACTGGCATTTTTGTTTATAATGTGCACACCCTTCAACTCAGAAATTCTACTTCTAGGTACATACTGCAAAGAATTTCAGCACATATGTAAAGGAGGACAGATACCAGAATGTTCTCTACAAATTGGCAGACACTCTTGGTTGCCTATCCAACAGCCATTTATTTCCTTCTTCCTCTTTTCTAGTAGAAACCTGATTTTCCAGTAACAAGTAGCTACATGGGTACATCCACCCCAGAGAGTGAATCATGATTGTTTTAAGCCAATTAAGGTGATTCTATGCCCATTGTTATTGTTTAGGGATAGAAATGTGTTTTAGTTTGGCCAAAAAAACCTAGGGGGAAATTTGCTAGTGTACTTTTCAATAAAAGATGATATAACTTTAGTTAGCACACATGTCAAATGTGAGCTTCCATGTTGCTAAAGGACACGGGCAAATTCAAACCAAACAACCTTTGCTATGGCAAAACCACCAAAAGCACAATTCACAACTGCAAAGATGTGGAAACAACCCAGGTGCCCATCAATAAGTGAGCAGATTAATAAAATGTGGTGTATGTACACCATGGGGTACTACACAGCCATAAAAAAACAATGGCGAACTAATATATCTTGTATTAACCTGGATGGAACTGGAGACCATTCTTCTAAGTGAAGTATCACTAGGAATGGAAAAACAAACATCGCATGAACTCACCATTAAATTGGAACTAACTGATCAACATTTATGTGCACACGTGGAAATGATATTCATTGGAAATCAAGCAGCAACATGGATGGACCTGGAGGCCATTATCTTAAATGAAACCATTCAGACGCAGAAAGACAAATACAGCATGTTCTCACAAGTGGGAACTAAGTAACGTGTACGCATGGAAGCAGAGTGTAGAATGATGGACCATGGATACTCGGAGGGGTGGGGGTGGATGACAGGAGGTGCTCGGTGGGTACAATACACATTGCTCCAGTGACGGATGCAGTGAAGGCCCAGACTTCACCAGCATGCAATATATCAATATCAATGTAGCAAAATTGCACTTTTACTCCATGAATATATACAAATAAAAAAAATAGAGGAAAAAAATAAAAACAAGCAAAAAAAACCAAAATGAAGTTTGTGTTCTTGTGGCAGTTCAGAAAAAAAGTTTCAAAATTCTCTGTTACTTCTTCCATCAAAAAACGGAGTTTATATCCATTCCCCTTGAATCTGATTTTTCAAAGCTAGGTCATAAAAGGCCAGAGAGCTTCCAGTTAGCTCTGCTGAAATGCCCATCCTGGGAGAAGCCAGCCACCACGTAAAACATCCAGCTATCCCGAGGCTGCCATGCTGGATGGAGACCAGGTGCAGATACTCTCTGAAGCCACAGATGCGCTCCCAGCTGGCAGGCAGCACCACCTGCTGGCCACCCCGGTGAGCCACCTTTGGCTCTCTAACAGCAGGGAGCCCAGAGAAGACTATGCAGGAGCCCAAGGGAAAACCGCCCAGTCAAGCCCTGCCCAAATTTCTGACCCACGGAATCGCGAGAAAATAAAACAGTCGTTTTAATCCACTGAGTTTTGGGAGCAGCAATAGTGATCAGAATGATTCTCAATAAAGAACTAAACATTTCTTGCTATTCTGGAAATCCCGACTACTCAATCACACAAGGGGAGAAAAGGGAAACATTAGTGAGGAAGAATTCAGCACAAGTTTTACAAAGGCGAGGGGAGTCAGGCTCTGGAAGAAGCAGTTCCATCTTTTTTGCCTTTAAGGCATTTTTATGTAAGGTGCCTGGACTTCTTGAAGTCAGTCATCTTGTTCCCATGAGGAAAAAGCCGAGAGCCCTGATGTCATTGAACCACACAACCGCAGGGAAGAAATGTAGCAGGGAGTCGAGGCGCATTCACCTGGACGGCACGTCATTAGTGCTAAGAGTGGTTTCCCGACGGTACCTGAAGGAGAAGAGCTCTCGCTGCGAGGCCGGGACGAAGACCCGGTCCTGCTCGCAGTCTCCCAGGTCCGCGGCCAGCCAGCAATCGCACAGGAAGTGCCACTTCCTCTCAACCGCCACGTCACTGACGATCACCTGGCTCACATACCTAGAGTAAAACGAAGAGAGTCACGTTAGGAAGGTGGGCTCGAGTCAAGTGAGAAGTAATCTTTCACTGTCAGCGGATGTCCTAGTGAACGAGTCATTTCAGCACACGGCGAGAACTAAGGAAAGAAAGGAGAGGGGAGCCTCTCTTTCCCTTCCCACCCTCTAAGGGAGCGCATGTGTCCGACACCAGACTGCCAGCTCCCGTTCCCTAGGAGTAGCTCAGTATGTGTGTGCACTTTATTGATTGATTGACTGATTTTAAATATGAAGGGGTGGGGGGTTGTGAGGAGGGTGCTCAGTTGCCTTGGTCGTTTTTGTTGAGACAGAGTCTCACTCCATCGCCCCAGGTGCTACACGCATCTGTAGTCCCAGCTACCTGGGAGGCTGAGGCAGAAGGATCGCTGAGAGCCCAGGAGTTGGAGGCTGCAGTGAGCTATGATGAGGCCACTGCACTCTAGCTGGGGCAACAGAGCCAGACTCTGTCTCAAAAAAAAAACAACCAAAAACCAATACACCCTGCTTTAATACCAAGTGGATAGAAAACTCTAGAGGTGACACATAACCCTGAGAATTTAAATGTAATAAATATTTATTGTTACAGTATTAACTATAATTATTAATTGTAACAAATATATATTCAGTCCTAATATAATCATGGCACTGAACTGGCTGCTGAAAATACAAACATGAGTAAGACAGTATCTTTATCCTTGAAGAGCATAAGACCACTGTGCATGAGCTAAAATTTTATAATCAAAGACTACATATAAAGTTAAGATTGATGTAAACTAGTGAGTAAAGTAGAAAATATTACATAGGTGTGAATTTCTTTAAAGTGCTTCCTCTAAAAGAGTTATGTACTTTAAATTTTAAAATTATCTTCCTATGATTATAAATAGGAATTCATTGTTATAATTTTGAAAATACCTAAAAGTGCACTGAAGAAAATTTTTAAAATGCTGTGATCTTACTACCCAGAGATAATTATTGATAATAATATTATCAAATAATTATCAAATATTATGTACTCTCTCCTATACACATACTTTTAAAAATAATCAACTTTGCCGGGTACAATTTACACATGATAAAATGCACCTAATTTTAAATGTACAGTTCAATGCATTCTGACAAATGTATATACCTGTGTAAACACTGCCCCTCCCAAGATATCACTCCAAACCCTTCTGCTAGTAACCTCCCACCCCCTCATCTCCTGGCCGCAGGAAACCACACATCTGCTTTCTGTCTCTATAGACTAGTTTGCCTTTTTTAGAATTTCATATAATGTGAATTCATGCAGTGTATCTTCTTTGTATCTGGTTCTTTTGCTCAGTATGATTTTCTTTTTCAAATTCATCCATGCTTTTTGTATATTAATAGTTTTCTCTTTTTTATTGAGTAGTATTCCATTGAATGAATATACTAGGATTTGTTTACTCATTCATTTGATGGACATTTGTGCTGTTTCCAGATTTTGGCTACTATTAATAAAGCTGTCATGACCACATGTACAAGTCTCAGAGTGGACACAGGTTTTCATTTATCCCGAGTAAATACCAAGGAGTGGAATTTCTGGGTCACCTGGTAAATCCATGCTTAACTTCACAAGAAACTGCCAGCCTGTTCTCTGAAGTGGCTGTACCATTTCACACTCCCACCAGTGGTGTGGGAGTTCCAGTTGCTCCCATCCTCACCTAAACTTGGTTTTGTCAGAACTTTTAATATAAACTATTCTGGTGGGTGGTTAGTGCTCTTCCACTGTGGCTTTAATTTGCATTTCCGGATGACTAATGATGTTGAGCACCTTTTCAAGTGCTTTTTATACATTATTCACCTTTATAAACGAAAGTGAAACAATGGTATACAAACTGTCTTGTACATACCTGAACAGAAAGGGAGCAGCACGGAAGTGATTAGGCTCTGCCTGCCCAGCGGTTGGTCGTATCTAGCCTAGTAGGGAAAAACTTATTTTGCTAATAATTTTAAGCAGACTGCGTGCTCTTCTCAGGCGGGCAACGTTTGGCAACTCGTCCTTTTGGGTGCCTGCACCTCGGAACTTTCACTCCTTCACTCCGCTCCCTTTTTCCTAATTCCAAAAACCAATAATCTTCATTCTTTAGTTAATTTTATGATCTACTTTCTCCACCACCTCTCCTAATTCTCAGGGTGTTGCTGAAGGAAGATGCCGAATCATTTGGACCGAACATGTGCCAGGTTCATGGGCTCTATCATTGTCTGTTCATCTCTCCAGCCCCCCAGGCACACCCCACGTGCTCATTCTATTCTTTCCCTTTTCCTTAAATCTCTCAATTTTGACCCAAAGTAAATTCAGTAGATAGTTGTTTATAAAATTTACTCTTTAAAGATTTTTTTGTGTATTTAGAAATATTCTTAATTTACCATAGATTGGGGCAATATTTCATTGTTATTTGCTGTTCATAATCATGACAACATTTAATGAAAATAAAATGGAAGAAAAGATCTATCCTTCTACTATCCAAAAAAAATCATATTGTTGATTTTCCTTATTTCTTTCCAGGGTTTGTTCTTTGTAGATAGCTTTAAAACTTAAACCTAGTAGGCATTTGTTGCTATTTGGCCCAGAGATTCAGTTATTAATTGTGATGGCGTGGCTTGGCTTTGCTTTCTCCGTGAGCCATAAAGAAACGAGGCAGCATGACGCAGGCGCTCACCAGGAAGGACCGACGCCCGAATTGTCGTGCCAGAGCCGGAGGCCGTGCAGCTCCCCTAGCGAGGCCCGAGTGGTGAGAAGGAAGACGTCCAGGCCTCCCCGCTCAAACACTGTCTTCTGCGGGTCCCAAAGGTGATGGGGCTCACTCCGTCCCTCTGATCCGTAGAGGGTGATGACAACCTAAAATGTGACAAGGAAAGACAAAATATAGGAGCTTTCAAAATGATTCTCTGGGTTTATCCCTAAGAAGAAAGATGAAGACATAGAAAACTGTATTTAAATAAAGTCTTTGGAATCTTCGACAAGCACAGAGGGCACTTTGCATTTACAACTTAGAACCGGGAAACACTAATCTCTGTGATCCCCTTTAAAGTGCTGTTGGCAAGTGCCAGATGTCACCAAGTCAGAGTGGGCTCACGTGGTGGGAGACATAAAGCAACGAATGAAGAACATTTATCTCATTAACCTTCGCTGTGGTAGCGGCCCTTCTACGATATCCTGTGTAGACCTGAATAAGGTAGCGAAACTGAGAGTCGGGGTCATTATCAGCCAGGACGGTGACCTTCACCTGCAGGAAAAGCAGAACCAAGAAACTTAGCAGCCTCCACTCAGCACAGCCTCCTGCCTCCTTCAGCTGAGGAGCAGGAGGACGCACCACTGCGGGTTTGGCAACCGGATGGAAAGCAGTGGTGAGTGTGGTTAGAAGACAAACAAACCAGCAGACCTAAGTTAAAGTGACTGAAGGGAGGATGAGGCCTGAAATTCCAGAGCTTATGCCTTTAACATGAAATATTCACAGAATCCACTGATCAAGTCTTGGGCCTCTAAATCCCACTTCCCGCCCACTCAGGATTGCCAGCTAACAGAGAAGATACCCAGTTAAACTTGAATTTCAGAGAAATGATGAATAATTTGTGGTATGCTTATACTAAAACTGCATGTACTATGTATTTAAAATGCAAATTTGACTGGGTATCCTGTATTTTAATTTACTAGAGCTGGCGACTCTCCACCCAGGGCAACAGAGAAATAGATACTTTGCATATTCTAGAATTCCCAGGGTGTTTTCTGAGTCCCATGAACATTCAACTTTGGCTTAAAAAAAATGGAGATTAAAGAGTTAAGTTCTTAGGTCTTGAGACAGTAGATATGAAGAGAAATTTAAGAAAAGTCCCACTTGGATTTTTCTATGCTACCTAGTATCATGCTACCTGCTTCTTTTGATGAAAGTCCGCCTGCCCAGTCTTATTTAATATATCCTCAAAACACTATGACAAAGCTTTTGGACTAAAGTCTCATTACCTTTTGCACATCTGCTTGGTCCTTCCTCCAAGCCCACACGACTATGATCATATAGAATCCCAAGAGGCTGGCCAGCAAGGACACCCCAACGGGATTGCTGGTCACGCGAAGGAACAGTTTGATTGTGTCTTCAACATGCACTGTCCTGGGAACGATGAAGAAGTCACTGCTGAAGAAGGTCAGGTGGTTACAGAGACACTGTGTCCTCAAAATCGTGCTCTGTGGCCCAACCTGGAATGAGAGTCAAGACACTGCTTCTCATCAGAGTGTTAAGGAAGGGACAAACCTAAGATGTAAACAACACAGGCAATTTCCAGATGGAAAAGGATGTCTGGATCTCTCGCTCACTGCTGGTGGTGGTGTACACGATTATAACCAATGTGGGAAGCAATTCGGCAACAGCCAGTGAGGCTGAAGAAGCTCAAACTCTGTGAATCCTGAAATTCCAGTTCTCAATACATATCCTAGGGGAACTTTGCACATGTGCACAAAGATATGGGAAAAGGAATGTTTTGTCAGCATTGTTTGTAAAACTATCAAAAATAGGAAACCACCTATATGTCCAATAACAGCAGAACATAACAAATTAACAAGTATATAAGTACATAACAAGTGCGTAAGTTCAAAAGTAGAGTCAAACTGATGGAATACTATAGGGCAGTTAAAAATGAATGAATGAGAAGTAGATGTATCAACGCGGACGAATGCTGAGTGACTACAACAAGGAGATGTACTGTACGGCACCATTTACACAAAGCCTGAAAGCATGCAAAACAACACTTAGTTATCTGTTCATTTTCAGTTTCTCTCTAGAATGTAAGCTCACGAGGATACTGTCTTGTTCGTTGCTGTGTCTCTAGTTCCTAGACTTGGGAATGGCACGTGGAAGATACTCAATAAATACTGGCTGAAAGAATGTCGCACACACCAGATTCAGGACACTGGTCACCCTTTGGTGGAAGGGAGGGAGTGAGATCAGAGAGGGATACGCAGAGGGCTTCAGTTACTCCTGAGTGTATTATTATTAAAAAATCTGCAGTAAATGGAGCAAAATACTAACTTCGATAAAGCTGAGCGTACATTTAATGTTTATCATATTATTCCCATATAACATTTCTTCATAATAAATATTTTTTTTAAATGTTAGTAGGTGTATAAGTGGAAGCCACCAATTCGGTTTGGTTTTGTGGATGAGAAGCCTAAAATACTGTCGTTATGACTGGCTTCTTTCTGTGGCTTAAGGCTAAGTTCTGGATGCCCCGCGTCCGTGCTCTGCCCTGGGAAGAGCTCTCACGCTGTGCTTGGCAGCGCTAGTCCTTTTGCAGAGCCCAAGCGCTACAAAGAGCTTCAGGGAGGCGGGAGATACTCCCGCGATCAACGGGTCTGTGTCGCGAGAGGAGAACAGCTCTCCAGCCTCGCCACTCACAGCGTGGTCTCCCCATCACACGGCCCCGGCATCGCCCAGGAGCTCGTGAGAAGCACAAAATCTCAGGCCCGTCTGCAAAGCCACTGCGTCAGAATCTGCACTTCAACAAGCTCCCAGTTTGGGCAGTTGCTTGAGAAGTCGTCATCCCGAAACCACTATAGGCAGGAATGGTGCTGACGCCTCCCTGGGAACCCCCTTTCCTTCTCCTTCCCATCTGGATGACGCTTTCTCAGCTGTTTTAAGAAGAACAGCTTCGTGATCTCCAGGACCTTGCTCCGCATTCTCTGTGCTACTGAGCCGCGACTTTAATCAGGCAGGAGTCCACAGAGTGTGTGCAAACGGGTACTGCTGTTTTAAAGTGGTCAGACACCAAAAACAAGATGATAATGACGATAGTGACACTCTGTCCCCATCTGGCCTAGAATATATAAGGATCTGCAAACAGCTTTTTCTTAGTGATAAAAATTCTCTTTTGTTTAGCAGAAGTTTTGTTTTATTTTGCCCACACCATATTTAATACTTGAAGACGTCTGCAGCTTCCAGATACTGCTTTCCTCATTTTATCTACGACTGTCAAATTCACCCTGGACTGTGTTTGAGAAAGAAATTACAAAGGTAAAGCACCAATCTGTTCTTGCCCCAAGAGATACACTTTCCCTGCCCACCACACACAAGTCCCCCGTTCCCCAAGCTGATCTTATTTCCCTTCTGATTATTTTTCTTTCTGGGCTGAGATAATAGATGTGCCCTGGTTAATGGGGCAGCTAAGGTAGGAGAGAGGCCTGAGAAGTGTCGGTTTCTTACTTGGCATCCGTTGCTACTCCACGTCCAGTTCTGGCTGTCCCAGAAATAACACTGAGTGATGGCAGTGATGACGGAGACCAGGGGGGCAGTCAGCTGAGCGCCGTCCTGGCTCCCGTTCCACACGGCTGTTATGCAGTAGGTGCCGGTCCCGTACCGCAGGCTCTCTGGAGTCAGCACCCACGTGTACTCCTCATCTTCGAGCAAAGCAGAGAGCTGACTTATATTTCACGTGGGACAAAATTACCAGTAGAACTTCTGTTCTGATCGGTCTATTGTTATTTTATTTCACAAATGAGGAAATGACAAGCCAAGAATCACAAATGCTTTGAAAGAAAACGATCAGTGATACAATCCCTGGCTCTGGATTATTATCCCTGTTCCGGTAAAGGATCATATTCTTTTCATAAATGAAAATTTAGGCCCAATGAATTAGAATGTATTATGAGTTTTAGAAAAACGAAATAATCACACATCTAAATTAATAGAAGATCCAGGTAATAAAAAAAACTCAAGGGCGAAGCAAGAATAGGAATCATGTGGTTGAAGGAACAGAGTCCTGCCCTGCATGCCAGGGGCCCGATGCCAGGCCTGGATCTGTCACCAGGTGGCTGGTTAAGGGCTAAGGCAAGTCACCCAATCTCTCTGGGCCTCAGTTTCCTAATCTTTCAAACAGGAGTCTTTTTTGAGACAGAGTCTCACTCTGTTGCTCGGGCAAGAATGCTGTGGCCAGCCTAGCTCATAGCAACCTCAAATTCCTGGGCTCAGGTGATCCTTCTGCCTCAGCCTCCCGAGTAGCTGGGACCACAGGTATGCGCCACCACGCCCGGCTAATTTTTTCTGTATATTTTTAGTTGTCCACTAATTTATTTCTATTTTTAGTAGAGACGGGGTCTTGCTCTTGCTCAGGCTGGTCTTGAACTCCTGAGCTCAAATGATCCTCCTGCCTCAGCCTCCCAGGGTGCTAGGATTACAGGCATGAGCCACCGCACCCAGCCAGGAGTCTTGTCTTTTAAAGGATCTTTCAGGCCCCTTCTGGCTTTAAAGGATACAATATTATCGCCAAGATCAGCATGAAAAGCCAGGGGCACCTTCTGAATCGGAAAAAAGCCTGTTGGTAATACATGCTTTTCATCAAGTGTATCTAGGCACTATTTATGTATCTTAGAAATT